CATCAGGATGCGGTCACGAAATGGGACGAGATGCGCATGAGACTCGAGAAGAATGCGACGATAGACGATCATAGGCGAAGACAGATTGAGATGGAAACGGAGAAACTCGAGGCAGTTCTGCAGAGGCTGCTGGACATAGTGAAGTACCTCGCGAAGCAGAATCAAGCATTCCGAGGTCATTTTGAGCAGCAGAAGTACGACTCCGATTTTGGAGGAGACTCCAGTCGAGGGAACTTTTTGGAGCTTGTTCATTTGGTAGCCAAGTACGATCCGGTTTTGCGAGAGCACCTCGTAAGGGTCCAGCTGTCGAAATCGAGGCAACTTACTTATCTCTCGAACAGAACGCAGAACAAGTTCATCGAAAAACTCGGTGAACGCGTTCGGCAAAAAATAATTGAGCGGGTCAAGACTGCCAAATATTTCACTATGATCTTCGACAGCACACCTGATCTGTCGCACAAGGACCAAACGAGTCAGGTTCTGCGATACGTCATCTTGGACGGCAAGGAAGTCAAAGTGACGGAGTCTTTCGTCGGTTTTATCGAAACAGAGAAAAAGGACGCGGCCGGCATCACCTCCATGATACTGCAGAGTCTTGAGAAGGACGGTCTCGATATACAACACTGTAGAGGCCAGGCGTATGATAATGCCGCCGTCATGTCTGGACATCGGTCAGGCGTTCAGAAGCGCATCAGAGATATAAATCCGGGAGCAGAATTTGTTGCTTGCAGCAATCATTCTCTGAACTTGGCCGGGGTCCACGCAGCTTCGGCATCAGTCAGATCCGTGTCATTTTTCGGGGTAATTGAGAAGCTGTTTTGTTTCTTCTCCTCGTCGACTCATCGCTGGAGTGCGCTGACCGCAGTAGCAGGAAGCCTCAAGCGGCTGATCGAGACTCGATGGAGTGCGAGAGGTGATGCTGTTGGTTCAGTGAAGAAGCACTACCTTGGGATCATTGGTGTATTGGAGAAGCTCACAACTGAAGTCGAGAACGCTGCAACCAGAGGTGACGCCGCTGTCTTGCTTGGGGCTCTGCAGACTCACCACTTCTTAGTCTTCCTGAATTTGTGGGATCCTGTTCTGAGAGAGATCAACTCCACTCAATGCTATCTTCAGACGAAGGGGCTGGATCTGCACCAGTGCGACTTGCGACTGAGAGCACTCGAGTTTTTCCTCACCCAGAACCGAGATACGCTCGTCGAGGAAGCTCTGACGATGGCGGAGAAAACGTGTGGAGAGCTAGAGATTCCATTAAGCAAACCTACGAGACGGAACGACGCTTCGCTATCTTATAGTCAAGAGATACGACGCGACATGTATGCCTCAATGGACAGGATTACTCAAGAAGTCAAGTCGCGGTTCAATCAGATTCACTCGATTGCCGAGAAATATGAATTCCTGATCCCGCGAAACCTTCTGAACGCTGACTACCTTTGTACTTTAGAGGAACATTCAAAGGACATCGACTTGGAACTTTTCGTATTCGAAAGAGTTCGGCTTCAGACTCTTGTTGCGTCAGCCGACGACGAAGAACAAGCTCAAATCAGGACAAAAGGTCCTTTCGAGCTCTTACAGTTCATTCAGAGGTATGCGCTTGGAAGCTCGTTGCCGAATATAGTGGTCCTGCTTCGAATCTTCCTAACCCTAGCAATCAGCGTCGCTTCCTGTGAAAGGAGCTTTTCTAAATTAAAGCTGATAAAAAATCATTTGCGATCTACCATGGGAGCCTCGCGTCTCAACAGTCTTGCGATACTATCTATTGAGCATAAGCTCACCGACGAGATCGATTTCGAAGATGTCATTCAGGAGTTTGCGGAAAACTATGCCCGCTACTCATCTAATGATAGAAGACTCATTTGAAACCTTCAATGTGACATCAAAGAAACCCATGAATAATATACTTGTGCTTTGTTTTTCCCTCCATCGTCTGAATTTTCTATCCAAGGAAACGATTGAAGCTCCTTAAACTCGATTCTTGAAAACTTCCAACGCAGAAGTGTTAGCCTGACCCCCTGAAGAGCGCAAGCACGAATTGGAGGGGGCGGCAAATTCGATCGTCGCCCCGGGCGGCACCATGGACTTGCACGCCACTGTCCGCATGCATGACGGACACTTGCGGGAGTAGTTGGAGAAGTCTCCCCGTGTAGAGAACGAGAGACCCGTGCTCCGCGCAGAAGGAGCTCGTGGGTCGTTCGCCGTCCGCGGTGCGACTTCACTCTGGCAAATCCTGGCTGCTGATGGCGAAGTGGAGTTCCTGTAATGTTGGAACGCTTTCAGGTCTACATTTTGCGGCGTGCCATCGAGCCGTGCGCGTGTGGGAGGGGACAACAATGCGTCGAGCAGCGGCCAGGGGAAGATGCAGTCGGTTTTTAAGTATGACATCTGACGGCTTTGCGCGACGGCTGGCCCGTATGTCATCGATCCACGACTTGCGGCATTCCCTGACAGCGACTCCGTGCCCACCGTGTTCAGGCAGATGGTTGTGCACTGAAGACACGCTGATAATTGTGCCATCAAATTGAAGTTTGGCGAGAACAGGACACCGAGTTTTGAGATACGCGAGTGAACGTGAGAACAGAACCTTCTTCAATGAATATGGAAGCACACCATGTTGAATAAACTGGTTTGAGCGACTCACCGTCTGCACTCCTTGCAGTTCAAACTAAGTTGGCGTGGTGTTTGACGAACAATGTTGAAGAAGAACTCCCCAGTTCCCTGGTCTCCGGCTAATGTGTACGCTCCCCTTACGTGGCACCACACATCCTGGCCGTGGAGTCGCCCGAGGACGCGGACGAAGGTATCACTTGGACTTTGCATCGCTCGAGTTTGCACACTAACGAAATGGCATACGGTGGGACACTCCTACTGTTTCGACAAGAGCGATCAAAGTCACCGACTTGGATGACACGGGCGAGGAGAAAGACACTTCATGTCGAAGATATATCGTATCGTTGCTTGATAAGCCCCTCCCTTGAGAAGGGTGCCTCTTTTCGGAAGCTGTCATCGCGCGCTTCGATCCGAAATGGCTTGAAAAGGGCGAGGAGTGGGACATGTTATCTCGACGATATATCCTATACCTATAGGCTATAGGTATTCGATCGACTCTTGCCTGGGCTCGCTTTGGCGCGCTTACTGAGCAATGATGTGAGGAGTCGATGAAAAACTTTAATTAAGAATGCTTTCTGTACGACACAGAGATATCGATTCCGGGCCATTTGAGGGTTTTCCCAGACTCAGACATAAATCGATGCGATCCGGAGAGGGTGAACGAGTTCGCCTTTCAAGTTGATACAGATGAGGAGGAAGACATTTGCAGTCCTCGATATATTCTATACCTATAGGTCTTTGATAAACCCTCTCTTTTAGTCGCGTCATCGCGTTTGGTGAGACTTATTAGAGATTCGGACGAAAGGATCTTGTCGGCTTTCACGAGGGGTATCGAATATGGGAGTGAGGATATGAGTTGACGGTATCATCACTCTGATATAAGATTTTCCCTCGCAAAGCAGGTGAATAGCGATACATTGGGGTATGTTGGGGGAATCGGTATGAAAATTCACAAACGTTCGTGATCGATTTGGTATAATCTCCACCGTGTAGCTGAACAGATTCCACGTCATTTGCGAAAGGGAATTCCGTATTCGTCATATATAGGCCGAAGAAGTCAAAGTTCGGAAATCAATCCAATTTTCCGATTCTCTCTATTGACTCTTCGATTCAGCGATTAGAATCCTGGCTGTTTTCACCCTCTCCCTCAAATAAAGTAGCCGCCGGCCTTTGTTGTGATGTAAGATTACCTAGACTCCCCTGTTCTGGCTCCTCACAACAGGTTTTCCCGAAACGAGCTCGATGCGATGCTCCTAATCGAAGCAGCCGACTTCAAATTGAGTTTTAGGAAAGAGGATTCAATATGGCGGATCTATGCTCCGTCAGCGGGGGCTGGAGCGCGCGCAATTCAAATTTTCGAAAATCCAGCGCAACGACCTTTCGCTATTAAATGGCTTATATTCCGTGTAGGCTATCGACGGCTAAAACGTACTCTTTTATCGACGCTGTATATTCACGCGAATCCTTCGGGAACTGCAGCGAATCTTTCCTGGAAGCTCCGGCTCCTCTCTACATTACATTTTCCGACTCCACACCTTCAGGGAGAAATTCACCCATAGGGGAAAAGCCCCGGGTAGATTTGACCTTCTAGTGTGCAAGGCTCTCCAGATCTTACCCCAGAAATTCGAGAACTTTAGATCGAGTTGGATGCTCCTGTCTAGGGATTCTGATAAGAGCTTTGAGGAATTGACCTCTCAGTTGTGCATGTTCGAGCGGAACTTCAAGAGTGAAACAATTCCTGAGAAGCCGGAGGCTCTCCATGTCAGACATGAGAACAAGCAGGAAAATTTAAGGAGTTCAAGACAAACAAATCGTGGAGAAAACGATGCTTGCAATTAGTGAAAGAAAAAGGGCCACTGGGTGAAGCAGTGTCGAAAATGGATAAGCGATGGAAAGCCTGGGAGAGTTGTCAACGAAGCAGAGCGCAAGATGGCGTTGGCGATTTCAGAGGCAGATAGCAATGAGGTTGGAGCGATCTCGAATAGTTGGTGGATCGACAACGGTGCTACTCAGCATGTTACGCATTGTGCGGATTTCTTCACGCAATTCGAAGAGTTTAACCAATCCCAGTGTGTCAAGGCAGCCGGAGGCGAGCTTCTCCGAGCTATAGGAAGAGGGACCATACCAATACGAACTCATGATGGTCTAGTGATGATTCTGAAGGATGTTTGGTACGTTCCCAAGATTTCGAAAAACCTGTTCTCGGTGCTAGCTGCACACGATAGGAACAGGAATAGCAGATTTGTCTCTGAAGTGAGGACGTGCAATTTCATGATTGAGGGCCGAGTCGTTCTCAGAGGACACCGTGAAGAGGGTGGCTCTCTGTATGAAGTCGATTTCGTGCCAATTCGCCTTCCAAAAGAGGTCAATGCAAGTGAAAAAGATGATTCGTTGCTGCAGTTGTACCACGAGAGGTGGGGACATCAGGATAAGAGGCACGTGAGAGATCTCCTGAGAGGAGAGCTGGACATCCATGTCCAGATTGATAAGACACTCTGCGAGCCCTGTATTTTCGGGAAACTGCATCGTTCCAAGTTCGGGAACAGAAACAAGACTACCAAGCCCGGCGAACAAACCCGAAACGGGAAAGCGGGGAAACGGGAAAGCGGGGAAACGGGAAAGCGGGGAAACGGGAAAGCGGGGAAACGGGAAAGCGGGGAAACGGGGAAGCGGGGAAACAGGCAAGCGGGGAAACAGGCAAGCGGGGAAACGGGCAAGACTTCCTCATTAAGCTCCGAATTCAAGAATGCTGTCTTGACGTCGAACTGATATAGTGCTAGAGATTCTTTGGCTGCAATAGCCAGTAGGGTCTTGATCGTATCAAAACGTGCAACCGGCGAGAAGGTTTCACCGAAATCACGACCGGGACGTTGATCGTAGCCCTTCACGACCAATCTCGCGCGAAATCTCTCTACGTTACCATGTGCATCTTTCTTAACCTTAAATATCCATCGGTTACTTACCGCTCGCTTCCCTCTCGGTGAGTCCACAAGCTCCCATACCGTATGGTGCTCCATTGAAGTTACCTCTCCAGCCATGGCATTCAACCACTGCTGGCAGTGCACTGACTTATATACTTCATCTATGTTATTTGGTCCGTCAACCATTTTATCTACACCGGTGCTCACGTTTTCCTTGTCTTGGGTTGACAGATGCGCTTCGTATCTGTCAGGCCTTCGCAACCTCGATCGATCTCGTAGCTCATATCTACCACGTCCAGGTCGGTTGCTTCCATGGCTCGACTCTCCCGCTCTGTCGGGGTCCAACAATTCCTCAGAATTGGAGCTCCCTGGATCGGGTTCTGCGGCAGCTGGTTTTTTACCTTGATCCTCTCTTCCGTCCTCGATAATCTCTCCTTCAGGATCTGCTTCGATGACGTTCGGTGTGCTCTCACTGTTGACTTCTTGATTCTCACTGGTGTTGGTATCTTATGGTTCCTCGCTCTCAACAAGTCCACTTTGTTTCGGGAAAACTACATCCTTTGTTCTGATGATTTTTCTTGTTCCTGGATACCAAATCCGATAGCTGAGCCCGTCATCGTCCATGCCGACCACGATGCCTGGATAGGCTCGCTGGCCGAGTTTAGTCTTCTTGGGATCTCTATCGTAGAATTTACACTTTGTTCCGAATGCTTTGATTTTTCTGATGTAAGGCTTTTGGCCTGTGATCATCTCGAGTGGAGTCTTTTCTGCTGACTCGTTGGATTTGACACAATTTAGGACATGCGCTGCGAAGTTGACTCCTTCAGCCCATAATGATTTCGGGAGCTGACTGTCAATCAGCATGGTGCGCGCCAAATCTAATAGTGTCCGATTCAGTCTTTCGCTAATTCCATTGTGTTGAGGACAATACTCTGCTGAGTAGCTTACATCTGCGCCAATATCCATCATAGTCCGTTGTACTTGCTGATTCCTGAATTCAGTACCACCACCCGAATGGAAATGGAAAATGTGGAATCCTTCCTTGTTGAAGAACCATGTCACTAATTGTCAGATACATTCCGGTATCTGATCCTTGCTTGAGACGAAATAGACTTTCCTGAATCTCGTCATGTCGTCGGTGAGTGTGAGAAAATAATTTGCACAACCGATGGATCTTGTGTTGACCGCACATGTAGCCGCATGTATGTATCCGGGCCTGGGAGCTACGACACTTTCCGGTTTCGGGCTGAAACTCGAACGATGCATCTTGCCCTGGATACAGTCTCCGCAACTGACGAAGTCGTCGACTACTTCGTATCCTTTACGTTTTAGCATTTTCTTGAGGGTCGTCACATTGACGTGTGCGAACGTCCTGTGGGCTTCCTCCAGACTTACTTTGTTCTTCAGTCCTGCCACATTTCCCTCAATTGGTTCCGTTGCGTGGAACACGAACAATCCTCCGCGTCTAAATGCTTTTACTTCACTGTTCCCGAGCTGTATCTTGATGGATTCGGTGCTTACTTCTACCTTGCAACCGTCGTCCGCTAATTTTGAGACTGATGCGAGGTTGCGACGGTTGTGTTGGCCGTGTATAGGAGTTTGATCATGTCCAGGTGTTGCGACGTAGGTTCGGTACGAAGAACACTTCAAAGAGTTCTAGTTCTCTTGCATCTATTTTCCATCACAGTTACTTCTGCTGTTCCTGAGCCTCTTGCCGTCAGCCCACGCGAACCACCCAACCTGACCTCTCGTTTGTTGCTGTATGGATGATAATCCTTCATCCATTTCAGGTCGAATATCATGTGGTGTGTGGTTCCACTGTCAACGACGAATTCTGCACCTGCTTCTGAGCTGTTTGTCTCAGCTCTGTCGAATTCGGTGACGAGTGCTTCGGCGACATTGGCATTTGGTGGAAGAGGTCTCGGAGGGTTCCTCCCTCGTCCTCGGCGGTGAAGGTTTCCTCGATGATTGTTGTTGCGCCTTGGGATTCTACACTGGCCTTTCTGGTTGCAATTGTAGCAAACCACTTCAGAAGATTGAACGAATGATCTTCTGGTTTTCGTTCTCCTCGAGAAGTTCCTCCTTCTCAAGTGATGATTTCTGTTTGCGTTGGACATGTTGAGTCTGGACATCAGGGCAGTCACATTTCTGTATTCATCCCGTTCCAGCATTTCGCCTCCACCTTCGATGAGATCCAACAAAGAGTCCGCTGTCACTTTCGTATCCATCCTCGCACTCAACGCTCGTCTAAACGAGTCCCAGCTGCTTGGAAGAGCTTCCAGAGTTTTGTCACACTGAATGTCCTCCGTCACTTCAACTCCCGCTTGATTCAGTTGATACATGATTCTTTTGAATGCAAGAATGTTTTTCTCAACGGATAGTCCGGGGGTGAATTTGAATCTTGAGAATCGTGAAATTGCAAGTGATTTCTTCGTACCCGATGAGGAGGTGAATTTTGCTTTGATTCTCCTCCGAATTCCATGAGCTTCCACTTCTTCCGGATCATCAAGAAATAGTATGGTTGCCGAATTCGGATGAATGGAGTTCATTAAGATATACTTCGCAGCTCTGTTTCCGGCTCGTAGTTCTTCTGTTGTTGTCGACCTTCTTTGGTGTTAGCCTTGTCTTCGGCTGGCGGATTCAGGGTACCGAGTACCGCTTCCCAGGCGTACGGTTCAGCTCCAATGACAGCCGGCATAACTGTCTTCCATGGTATATAGTTTTCACCACTGGTTTCCACGGTAATGTTGCTGAACGCTCGTGGTCTGGATCCACCGCTGGTCGAACTTGGATTATCATCTTGCTGTAGCTCACTTTCGGATACGTTCGCTCTGTAGCCGTGGGACCTACGGGTATCCCGAGTTGATGATGTTGCCAATGGCATCTTGCAGTTGAGGTTTGTGCACTAACACTCACTGCGATGCAGCACAATGGCGAAACTTGCTCCGAGCGAACTCGCACGCAATAACGTTTATAGGCTTTCTCGGCTATCTAGCCTACTAGCTCTGGCTGCGGTGAGCTCGAATCGATGCTGTGCTTGATACAACTGGGACAGCGGCTAATAAAGACGAACTCTGCTTGGTGTGAAATACCAAAGGCTCCCCCACTAGTACTGATCTTCATTATGCCTCATATAGTGCTGGAAGGAAAGGGTCAAGTCAGTCAGTCAGTCAGTCACGGACGCTCTTTACAAGGGGTCCGAGGAAGAAGCTGACTTTCGTGGTATTAGAAGAGACTGATTTCGGAAAAAGTGCTCATACGGAGAGGTAATCTCTTAGGACAACGGGGAAGCGGCTGAAGATGGACTATCACTTCTCTGCCCTCCCTATCCGCGAGAGATCTTCACCTCACGACCTAGGCCACTAAGGCGACTGGGCAAAGCTCCAATCAAAGCAGTGAGTTTCTCACCTCAAAAAAGCATCAAGCGGGCGTAGGAACATCCCGGGATAGCACGCACGCATCGAAGAAGAAAACTTTCTGAGCGGAAATCTCGATTTTTCGCCAGTCGGTCTCGTCGAGCCGAGCATCTGACAGATCGTTCGAAAATCGCGACTGGCGCGAAATTCAAACTCGCGAGGCTGAAATCGCGGAATTCAAGGGCCGGCAGATCCGACGGAAGCCCGAAATGGAGGGCCCCGGCCCACCGGGGCTCCTGCCGAGGAGGGCTCGGAGACAAGCTGAAGACGCGAGCAGACCGGTGCCGGCGAGAACGGAGGACCGGGAGATGAGAGGAGTTGACGTCGGGAAGACCGGAACAGAAGCCAACGAGGCTCCCCTGAACGAGAACCAGGAGTACAGCTCTACAGAAAAGCTAGAGAGGGCGGTCGGTAAAGGACTAGCCTCAGCGCTCGAGAGAGCCGCGAGGAAACAGGCGCAAGCAGCAGAAATCACAGAAGATTCCCGAGAAACACCGAGACTAGAGACGGCGCCAAGAGCCCCGAAGCAACTCGTACCCCAGGAGACACCGAAACAAGGACCGGCTTCCACTGCACCGAAACACAAGGGGAACTCTGATAGAGAAACACTCAAGGAGCCGAAGTCGAACTCCGAGAAACCGGCCAAGAGGAAGAACCCCCCTTCTCCAGAGCAAAACGAGATCGAAAAGAGACTCCGCAGCATGGACACCAAGGAAGAACTGGGACACTTCGCCAGGGAGAGAATCGAGGTACTCATCAGAGAGGTAGGAGGGATGAGATCTCCCATCGCCACCTCCAGTGCATATGGATCTGCATCCAGAGCTGGAGCGATAAGCACACGCCACTCCGTATAGTTGCTGCCGTCAAGTCTCAGGATCACAATATCACGGCTGCGAGCTCGTGTCGCGATATGGAGCTCGCCGATGTCTCCAGTGTCGTAATCACCCCTTGGTGGTTTACTATCGCCTAAGCTTAGTGCTGATGGCCCGGGCTGGTCATCGCCTAAGTCACTATTGATGGAGATTACAGGTTAACTGACTTTATTTCGTATTTTCCTATCTCATGGTTCACAGCATCGAGTAGTTGAGCAAGATCGTAAATAACGACTCGCGCGTGGCGGTACATATTTAAATTGCTCTACTCGCGTTCTATATATCGATAATTGCTTTTCACATTATCCGATGTGTAACACCGGACTGACCCTTCCCAATCATGTATATAAACAGCTTCAATAAAGACTGACTTCACTTGAGGAGTAATATCCTATACCGGTATTATTTCTTTGGTCTGTTTTGCTCCGTCCGAAGGGTGCCTGCTCATCCCATCGAACTCTTCGAGTACTCATCGTCATCTCCGGAGAAACCGACCGAAATTTCCCTTCATTCGTTATCAGCACGAAGGATTCTGCTCTCCAGAGAACGCTGAGGACAATTTGCAAGAGGACAACGTCTCCACGACTCACTCAGCAACCCACAGAAATCTTCCACGTGAGTCTATCGCACAGTCGTACCTAGGAACCGAAGTATATCCGACACCCGACACCGAAGGAAAACCTCTGGCCCTCGTGACCACGGGCGGAGGACTCATGGCAGGCGGAGACAACTCAGGAGGGGGTTCTGTTGCTGGAGGTGGTGACACCCCTGCTGGCGGAATCACTCCGAGTGGAGGTGACGCCAAACCTGACGTACCATCCGAGTCTGAAGAGCCCAACCTGCGCCTGGCCCGTAGAGTCTTTGGGAGTAAACGGTGGAAGCGACGCGCGACAGGATG